TCTCTCTGAGGCAAAAAAGAGGAAAACGACCCTTGGTGTCAGTTCCTTCTTTTTCTACAGTTACGTTTGCCGCTAGAAATGCGTCTGCTGCTCATCGACAAGGAACAAGGAAAGCACTTCTGGTGAGAGGAAGAGCGGACGACGCGTGATTTTGGACTCGTCCACGGCCACATAACGGATCCCGGTCCTCTTATCATGGAAGATGTGAGTAGTCCAGACCAGAGCTTTTTGGACACTAACGTCTTAGAGTTGCACTTTGGGCCTGTTTCTGAATCTGAGGATAGTTTGATGCTGAAATTGTAACGCAGCGAGGGGCGCGACCGACTTTTTGGAGCAAAGTTTGGGCCCGTACGCTTTTTTTTTTTAAAGCGATGCGCATCCATCCGCTGCGTTACTTCTCTATTATTTTTAACAAAGCTGCGGCAGGAGGTAGCCACGATCTTTTGGCACGAAACACCTGCCCGCTTGGTCAATCCGTTGCATCAACCCCGTGTGGGTCAGATTTCTCCAAAAACTCCACTCTGCAGGCGCAAAGGAGCCTCTGGCTCAGGCTCCAGTTTCTGTTCACCATTTCAACACTGGGGCGTCGGGGTTAACGGTTCTCTCTCTGCTTGGAAAAAAACAGAGGAAGCAGGAAACATAACGCCTGTAAAATGTCAGCTTTTACGCCTATATTTGTCAGAAATACCGGTTCAAGTTAACGTGACCCGCCCTGCAAACTGGAAACAAAACTGATGGAAAGGGCAGGTTTTTTTAAAAGGTGTAGCTTGAAAAGTTCAGTTTAGGCAACCGGACGTGAAGTTTTCTGGACTTTTTCCCCTCTCATCCATTTCTGGTTTGCAGTGACTGGAGTGCGGAGATTGCGCAATTTCGAATAAGAAGTTCGAGAAAGGCGTTATTCGACTGGTGCAGCAGCTGGTGAGCTTTAGTAACAACGTGACACTTTCAGGAAACGCCTTCACTAGAAAGGGGAAGTCCAGCAGAGGCAAAGGTACCTCACACCTCTGAACTCTGAAGGGACTCTCATGCTCTCTGCACGGAGCGCTGAATGTGGAACAGTAAAAGTATAGACTTCAATCCCTTGTGTTTTGGTGGCGTTTCCATCTGGAACACTTCCCTAAACTCAACCCCCCGTTAAACTTTAGGCGGTGTGGCCTTACAGCTGCCTACTTTGCTGTAAAGAGAAAATCGGCCCCATTCCCTTCAAGCATCCCCACAGTAATTGGTGTGTGTTGTGGTGTGTGTTGTTGGCAGGTCAGGTGACAAAGGTCCGCGGTGTGAGCTTCTCCTAAGTTACAGGCATGTTACGGTGCAAGTCCAGTTTCCTTTTGGGCCGATTTGCCAAGGAAAAGCCGCAAGCCCATCGTCCTGTTTTTTCGTGGACCTCGTTCTTGCGTAATTGAATCTAATGGCATTTTTGAGTGTGAGCCTTTTGTCATGCACGCTGTCTACTCACAGTCAGAGGGTTTGAATCAGCTGTGGCGGCTGTGACTCAGGAGGAAAGATGGATTGACCTTCCTGATTGGAGGGTCAGTGGTTCAACTCTGTGTTCCTCCAGACAACATGCGGAAGAGCCCTCGGGCAAGGCCCTGAACCCCAAATTGCCCACTGGTGCAACCAGTGTGTGAATGTGTGTGTGAATGGTGAATTACACGAAGTGTAAAGCGCTTTGAGTGGTCAGCTTGACTAGAAAATCGCTATATAAGTACATGTACATTTACATTTATAATCAGGGGCGCTCGTGTCTGTGGGCAGTTTGCGTGTCCTCCACAGATATCTCCGGGTACTCCGGCCCACAAATGCATGTGTGAGGCATGTGAGGAGTGTGTGTGTGTGTGATTGTGGCCCTGTGGTGGTCTGACCTACCTCTTGTGCAGTGACGGCTGGGACAGGTCCATGTTTGGTCGACTGTCCATTTCTTAAGGTGGAGCTACTCTGTGTCCTCCGGTTGGCATAGTTGCCATAGTTACAAAAAATTAAATGATGTCATGAAAGATGTTGTTTTGGACGAATTTATTTGGACTGGAAGAGTCAACTTTGACTCATTTTAAAGGATGTTTACCTTCTATCTTCATTAATCATCTGTCCAAAATGTTTTTTAGTTGATATTCTCTGTGCACAAAAAGCTGTGTGTGTGTATAGTCTGCAAACTTTATCACTTTTCTTATCTGATCTATGTTTGTATTTTGTAATGTGCTGATTCTTGCCCTCCTCCTCTGCTCCACTCGTCGTCTTTCACCCACAAAAACCCTGTGGCCCTTGCAGGGCGATCGTCCGTCTCATCTCTGAGTCATCCCCTTTATCTCCGCTGCGCTGACCCGGAGTGCATATTGTGACGTGCCTGCCTGACTCTTTCGGCAGAGAGGAAACAGACTGCAGCATTATGTGTCAGGCGGAGAACAATTAACCCTCTCTGTTGATCGCCCTGCAATCAAGGCCACTGCCGCACAATGAATGAATGTGAGCGTGTTGTCATGCCGGGGCACTGCTGCCAAGTTCTGGGAAAGTGCCTTTTGGAAAAGAGAAAAAAAAGTGATCATTGTGAATGCTTATGTGTTCTTGTAGGAACAAGTGCTCAATTTGTGGAAATAACGAAAAGACAAAGTGAGTGTCTGATATTACACAAAAAGCATGGGATATGACTACCATGTTCTCTCCTTTAGGGCTCACTTTTATGCAGTTTGGGTGATATTGCGCCATATCACAACAAAGTCCAATTAAGGGATGACTCATGGATGAGACAGATTATCATCCTGGAAGGGCCAGAAGTTCCTTTAGAGAACTTATGATAACTGTAACATAGTGTCTACTTTTTAAGTGGCTTTGGATAAAAGCGTCTGCTAAATGCATAAACATAAACGTTAAAGCCAATCATACGTCATTCATTGGATAACAGCTAAAATCTAATTGTATGGTATGCCATTTCAAGTGTTTTCAGTTCACACAATATCATCCATCCATTGTGTCCCACTCAAGTCAGGTCGGGGTTAGGTCCATACCCCAATCCATCCATCCATTTTCCTAACCAATTATTGCCTAATGGGGTCACGGGGGGAACTGGAGCCTATCCCAGTGGTCAATAGGCCAGAGGCGGGGTACACCCTGGATAGTCCGCCAGTCCATCGCAGGGCAAGGTCCATAACCGCTGTACGTAATTCTTCCAGAGAGTGTTGTTGGGTGTGCTCTGGGTCCTCCTCCCAGTTCAACAAGCCTGGGGCCTTCAGAGGGAGGTGAACAGGAGGCACCCTAAGCAGATCAAACAGAATTCCTTTCACTGCAGACTCCAGTCTCTTGTCTATCTCTAGGGCTTAGCTCAGCCACCCTCCAAAGAAAATGAACCTCATTTTCCTGCATCCACCACCTCATTCTACTGGGAATGGCCAGATCTGGACCCATAGTGAGAGTAGGGAATGAAATGGACCACTTTGCCACACAGGACCAGAGCCGCGCCCTGGTTGCTGCTGCCAATGCCCCGGTCCATCTGTCCATCTCTCACTCACACTTCATGATCAAGAAGAGTGTTAAATGAGGAAGGGGGTCATTCTCAACCTACACAGAGCGTTCCAGCCATCCATAAATCGCCACCTTAAACATGCTGACGGGCATGCTGGGCTTCCCAAGATCCTGAGAGATAAGCTGTTGGTCTACTGTGAGAGATTGGTCAAAGGGGAATAGCCTGAAAGAGAGTGATGCACAGAGTGGGCAGAGGTGAAGGGGAGTGCCCCTGGCCGAGCCGTGGCTCCTGAGGCCTGGTCAGGCCCCCATGGAAACAACAGGAAGCCAAATCTGTTTTGAGAGAGAAATGTTGGGTGCAGTGTGAGCTCAGACGCAGAGCAAGGTAAGGCCTTGGGTACACCAATTCCCAGGACTTCAGCACCAGGACCCCAGCACTAGGACAACAGCACCAGGATACCAGGATATCAGCACCAGGACACCAGCACCAGGAATCCAGCACCAGGACACCAGTACCAGGGCACCAGCACCAGGACTGCCAGCACCAGGACTACCAGTTGTTTTCCAGAGGACTGCACAGCAATTACAGCATAGTGACCTTCAGTCAATGAAGCTAATGACCAATCGTATCTTTGTGATGTCAGCATGACTGGTCCAAGGTCCTGCACGCCTCTTTCCTTCTACTGTACATCTAAATATTAATACAGCAAATTCCCACTCAAAGGCTGATATTCTCACAGCTTTTCTGATGGAAGTAGAGAAACAGACATATAACAGGAACTGAGAACTAACTACTTAGTTCGTGGAGATCAAGTCCTTTTTTTTCTGCAGAATCATTCTGCATATTCCACACTATACAGGGACCAAGGTCTCCCAGGGAGGATGCAGAAGCACCAGGGTGTCGGAGGCGTTTACAGGCTCAGTGTCAGCCTCAAATCCACTCCAGGGACAACACTGCTCACCTGAAGGCAGCTCCCAAATTTTGTTGAGTGAGAGAAAGCATGCGGTGTGGTGGGAAAGTGGGCATTCTGGGTCATTTTTGCCAGTGTGTTTTTGCCAACAAGCAAAAAAACTGAAGAAGCTGCTGAAACAGTCAGAAATGTAGCTAACCTCCAAACCCCTGACTGGACATCTGGGCTTAGTTCATGCAGAGTGGGACAGAATGAAGCCAATGATGAATACTGCGTTGCGTCAGATGTGGTTAGAAAAGCTCGCGAAAGAGTCAAGAAACAATATAAATGTTGATTTTTTGGGGCCTGTTAATTCTCTACACAGGAAAGAAATCTAAAACAAAAATGAAAAATTACATTAGGACACTTTTTGTAGAAAAACATGGTGAACTAATAGGATGTGTAATCAATTTTCAATTTTGAATGTAGTTGAATGTAATTGTGGTTTGTTTGATTCGGATTTTTGTTTGTGGGTTAAAGTTTACGTGTGAGCTGAGGTGTGGCTGGCGAGTGTCATGCAGTCGCTGTTCTTTATGAAAGGAAGAGTGTGGGTGTTGGTGCACAGTGCCGGCAAGCAGAAATGTTCTCACTTGGCTGTGACTGCTCTATAAAATTAGAGTTCCTCCCTGACTCACGGACACCAGTACAATCACATCACCATCTATTGTTAGAAAAAGTCAAGTTTCAGGCCCCTCGCTGCTGGTTAGAATGAGTTAACTCGTCAGAGTTCATCTGCTCTTCAGTAAAACTCTGTTGATGGCTTCAGTGGCTTCATCCTGCTAGCAAAAGTGCAGAGCTCCTAGGCTCACCTGTGGTCTGTGCTTTGATATTTGTGTTTAAAAGAGCAAGCTATTGAGAATGGTCAATGGCAAATGCAGAGTTTGTCCAGTAGTGCCTCAAATTCATGTAAAATGTCAGCTGTATTTTTAGGTGAGGAAAGGATTCTACCGTGTGTCACCTGTTGCTCTAGCATCAGTATTTCTAAAAGCGACTGTCGGCCAGCAGTTGCAGATCCTTTGACCAGGTGGAGACACACATCTCTGCTGAGAGTAGTCTTTGTTTTTTTAATGGCGGCACTACATAAACCCAGAAGTTGTGACTCACAGCCCTTATTTTTTCTTTAATAAAGTAGCTTTTGTAAATCTTTTCTGGGGCTCTGTGCCGTCTGAAAGTGGGGATTGGTATCTCCAGTTGAAGCTCATATTTATCGTTTTAAGGCAAATATTAGGCAAAATGATAGCAGTCCGCCTCCACTTCCCCTCCCTGCTCCACTTGTCAGGGGTTAATGTGGGCGGAGGCCTGTGGTTAATTCAAGCTGGGCCGGTCAGTGGGAATATCAGCCAATGCCAGATGCACCATTACCTCAAACTTCATGGGAAACACATGTGCGTTACGATGGGCCTTTGCAGCTCTGCTCTTTGTGTTCCTCTTTGACGGCCCTGTCTGTGTGAAGTTTCCCAGCTAGATACATTTTGAATCTATAAGTGCTGAAGCTTTGGTCGTGGGGGTTGGTTTAAGCAGCACTCTTGTTGGCCGCTGCTCTCTGTGGCTGGCTCACCACAACACCACAGGCAAGACCTTTAATAGACTGCAGAGCCAAGGCTCATATAGATAAAACGTTCAACTTCCTGTCTAAGTCCGAAACTGGGACTACCACACAGTGCAGGTTGACCAGATGTTGTACCGATGTGCTGCACCTAGCGCTGACTATGTCTGTGTTCAGTCCGGTTCTTCTTTTTGGTTGTGTGGAGCTGAGCACCTTTGTCTCTCAGCAGAGCTCTTTGTGAAGCTTTCATACTTTGGAGCGATAAGCCTTTCTGGTTGTTTTCCTGGCAGGTTCCCCGTCCCAGAATGACCTGTCTTGTCTTTGCAGCTGCATTGCTGTTTAACAGGCTGAGGCCGCCTCTGCATTCGAGTCAAAATGGAAAAACCCTTAGATGACCTCCAACCTAACGCCAAAAGAGAAAAAAAGATATCCTGTGGAAGTTCCAACAGTAGAAACAAAGCCTTTGTGTTTCCAAATTCCTGCACTTGTTGGGCTTTTACTCATCATGGAAAATGAGTATGTGGATTTACTCAGGGCTTACTTCACAAGTTTATATTTCCACACTGATCAGCAGATATGATCTAGTCTACAGGAATCTATTACACATGAAACCCAACAGCAGATCCTCACAGAAACCTCATCCTCTAACAGCTAATATCCTACTTGATACATAGTTCATATTGATGTAAGGCTTGGTGTAAAAGTTAACAGGAAGTTATTGATGCCAACACCATTTTAAGTCACTTCTGTGGAAATGAAACATTTTGTAGAAGTGCTTTTGAATGCGGAACTACCACGTAAACCCGAGTGTGGGATCAGCTACTAGTTTTCAGGTGAATTTCCAGGAAGCAGCTCTCTGATAAAGGCTTTGAGGTGCTGGCTTGGGAGGTCAGCAGTTAGACTTAACATTTTTGCCAAATTACCAGAAAAAGCTTTTCTTGCCAGCTTTCTGGGATTCTGATGGAGGTGTTCAGCTGTGAATTAAAGAGGATCCAGCACTGTTTAGCTTCGTTCACAGGTGGGACTGGATGGATGGCAGGTGACCTCTGCTGTGAGGAGAAATTACAAGTCTAGGTTTAGCAACCTTAAATTCTTATGTCCAGCTCTATCCCTGGAGGTATGTGAACAGGCTGCATTTAGTGCACAGAGAGCTAAATAACATTACATTTATTTGGAATGCTAACAGTATCGAATGGAATCCCTAACCTTAAACCCCTTTCCTGGATTACTCTCACAGCTACATTAGCCTATTTAGAACTGTTATGAGAAATTGCTAAATGAGCTAACCATAACCATAATGGTATCTCATTCTGATTCAAATCTAAAAAAATAAAGACTTCTCTTCTGAAAAACAGAAGTGAAAATAACTGAAGTTACCAAAGCATTCCTACAAGCTGTGCTGTGAGTATGCCTCAAAACACTTGTCTTTGTCTTTACTCGTTCTTTGGATCTATCTTTAGTTTCGTTTAGAGCACACAAGCATGATTCAGCATCAGATTCAGATGGTAAAGATTGAGAAACAGAACTTGCATGTTATGTTTCTAGATTTAACCAGTGCGTTTGGTTCAGTTTCACATGGCCTTATTTGGAAAGCGTTTGATTATCTTAGAGTGCTGGTTGTAGTTGTGAACTTACTTAGAGCAGGTTTCATATCAGGGTGGCTGAAGTAGAAATAGGCATTATGGCAGGATGTATGATTTCTCATATAGCAATTACAATGGTGATGGAGATGATTATTAGAGCTTCAAAGTGGGTTATAGGTGGAGAGAGTCATAATAGCGTTCGACTTCCACCAATCAGGGCTTCCATGGATGATACGACGTTAGTGAATACAAAGGTTCCATGTTTTAGGAAAATACTGAAAAGACAAATCTTAAGTGGGCTGGTAAGAATATCAAGCCTAACAAATCCAGAAGCATCTCAACCAGTCGAGGGGAGTTAGGTGTTGGGAAGTCTGTAATAGATGAAGAAGGAATTCCACTAATTAGGGAAAAGTTAGTAAAGAGTTTAGGCAGGTGGTACCAGGCAGACGTGAACGATGGAGAGCAGGTAGAGCAGATATGGAAAGATGCTGCTGAGAGCCTGGATGGAAGAGATGAATCAGAGCTTCCAGGAAGGTTGAAGCTGTAGAGTCTCCAGTTTGGATGCTTCCCTAGGCTGATCTGGCCCCTGCCCGTAATTCTATTATCTGTTGAAGAAGAAAATGGAAAAGATTGGTTAGCTCTTACATTAGGAAGTGGCTAGGTGTTCCTGGAAGTTTAGGTAATGGGGAACTGGATGGGAATGGCCTACTGGAGCAGGTTCTATGGCAGGAGGAAATGTTAAGCGGTCACAAAGAGAAGAGAAAGCCCGATGTGGGGCAGGTTCTTTGGCAGGAGGGAATGTTAAGGGGTCCCAAAGAGAAGAGAAATCCAGAGAATGCCCTTTTGGTGGGTGTTTCAGGTGTTCTATCTCCTGTTTGGGTTAGTTTGTATGCTGGGTCTGCTTGTGTGTCTTGTCCTAACTCCACCCCCTGCACCCTCTATACTGTCATTACCTCCTACCCCAACCAGGGTCTGCACCCCCCTCCTGTGACAAGTCCCTGAAGTGAGGTTTGAATGTTCTTTCCTGTAAATCCGCTTAGTGTAATGCAATCACCAGAAAAAGACAGAAGGCGTTAATATGTCATTTATTAACATGGTTGTAACTATTTCAAACATCTCCACCGTACAAAGAGAACCCAAAAATGGGTAAAAAACTGTCATTTCACAGTGACGCATCTTGGCTCCTGTCACCACAGCTCTGCCTGCTAAAGGGCCTGACTCCACGTGATGTCTGTTAGTCATGTCAATCTTGAGAGTTTAACTGAAAAAATAAGAAGAATTTATGAGGAACCTGCAGAGAATTGTGAAATTGTCATCATTGTTAACTCTGTTCTGGTATTGAACCTGCATGATTAAAAAGGAAGGCATGATTAAAAAGGTTTAGAGTGGATGTCAATGTGTTTTGTCTACAGCATTTAGTGGTTATAGTTCGTAACTTTGACAAAGTGAGAGTTGTGATAACTTAGCGCAACTTGCAGTCTGAGGTGCTAACAAAGACTTCCTTCCTCTCAAATGCTGCAGGATAAAAAAGAAGACCCAGCCCGGAATAAAGAGCCGAAGTTCCTGAGTAAGGCTGGCTGGGTGAAGAAGGCTTATGGCAGACTGTTGGCAAGCTACAAAGATCGCTACGTCCATGTGGAGAGGACAGAGATTGTGGTGTATGAAAACGAGGTGGGTACAGTACAACACTTCCATGCAAACTGATGCTATGGACATTGTTTTGTTTTATGAAGGACGCACTGCCTTTCTGAGGCTGCATGTTTTAAGCGTCCCGATGTCTATCTCCTTAAAAAAATATATGTGTTTTATGTGTATTGTTATTAAAAATGAGTTTTAGTTTAATGACGCATTATGTGTACTTTGTGTTTTCAGGATTTGCAGAACTGCCTGGAGAGGTTTGACCTGGAAAACTATGAAAAATGCCATGAATTGAAGAGCACTTTCAAGAAGAAGCACAGACTGATACTCATACGATCACCCAAATCAGGAAACAAGGTCAGCTCAGAGACATTCTGTTAGAAAGCTAACAGCATCTACAAAGCTAACTAAGAAATTACTAAAACATCTACTTAATTCTGTTTACTGGATCAGAACCCCAGTCTATCAGTTTATTATTATCTTGAATTTATCATATGTATATTACACATGTTGTTGAATGAGATAGGGACAAACATGCATCTGGTGTCAATGAAAAACCCTTGAGGCCATGGTTAAAATGGTTAAAATCTGTATTTTTTTTTGGACAATACAAAAACTCTCAGATAACTGAAATTCCTAAAAGCACTGGTCCAACTCATCTTCAAGGTCCCTGTAATTTGAGCCATTCGGAGCTACTAAAAAGATAGTATCCATGGTGGTCCATATGCTTTACTCTTTAGCATATGAGGTGGTAAATTAAATGAAAACATTGTCATTTTTAAATGTTTGTATTTCATCTATTTTGTATTACCCCAACACGGCTCTCCATTAGGAAGGTTCTCTTTTTGTCTTTACAGTTACATACAGGTAAGCCTGTTGGGCGCTGTGGGTTAAGTGTCATACTAGAGGACACTTTGACCAATAGGGAGTCAGGAAAACTTGTCTTCTGATTAAGAAACGGCCACTCTCCTCCTCTGAATGCACTGAATGTACAACTCAGGGCTAACTCTGAACCGCCTGGTTATATCACATCCATGTGTCTGTGATAGTAGTTCTCTTTAGAGCCTTTTGGGTCATTTTTAAACAGGGGCATTAAAGCCTGGAGATAGTAGCCTCTTAAAGTTTCATGATGAAACATTACCTTACCTCATTTCCTTCTTTCACTGTGAGATCCTGAGTCTGTTGATATTTTGTCCATGGCTGCTGTTGTTCCATGTGAAAGAAAACGGGGTGGTCTGACACGGATGTGAGCGGCTACTTGGCAGCCCGCTGCTTTCTCCTGGGTAACCCCGTTCAGCTTTGGTTCTGTGTGGCTAAATGGCGATTAAAAAAAAAAAACCCTCTGTGAGCTCCTTCATCAGCTATGACCTGATATAGCTCAGGTTAGATGCTTAGCAAGCATAGAGATGCTGTAGAGTGAATGCAAAATGGAGAGATGGAGAAAAAAAAACAAATCCACTTATCACTGACTTTATGTTCAAGTGAATTATTTTTTGGGGATCTGCAGGTTCATGATGTGAAGTTCCAGGCTCAAACTGTGGAGGAGAAGGAGGCTTGGATCAAAGCCCTCAGTGATGCCATCAATCGAGCTAAGAACAAAGTCTTCGACGAGGTGAACGCCTGTTTGTGTCTTTTGGTGGCACGACGATCTCGCTTCGTTCTTAAAAGCTCAAACTGTCTCATGCTCAATGCAGGTCAAAGTGGATGAAAGCAGTAACTTGGAGCATGTTACTCGCTCAAGACCCAAAGGAAACCGCAATCGAAGGCCGCCGACCCGGATCCACATGAAAGGGGTAAGTTTGTCGAGTGTCAGGCCTGGTGTCTGCAGAGGGCTGAGAAGCTGCAGCAGAACGGGCATCTCCTGAGACAACCACCCATCAGGAGCACCGGGACACTAAATCCTCTCACTTTTAGCATTTTGTGTTGCTTTATTTGAAAGCCATGTTAAGACATATCTCTCACCTCAAATATCTGTTTATGCACATTACTTGTTGTCTTCATCACTTCTAATAATGTACATTTTTAGTTATAGTTAGTTAGGCAGATATTTAATTAATGGGATGCCTTTACATTGATTCAGTGGGTGCAGAGTTCTTCATCCTTACAAAGTCTGTGTATAGGATATATGATATGGTGACATATACATTAGTGTATGGAAATATTTGTTTTCCATACATTAATTTTTATGGTAAATTAATTTTTGTATTACATTTATCTAAATGAGGCAATTAAGGAATAAATGAGTACCAGCTGAAAACAGAACTGAATACAACAGAAGATCCAAAGGAGACCAAAACCAAAAGAGATCTCAGTACAATGTAAGACAAATGAAAAAATCTAGTGTCTGACCATGGTGTTCAAGCTAATAGTTGTGTTTTCAGAGACACAGAGGCACTGGAGCAAGACTGGCTACTGCTCGCTCCTCCAAGTTAGGGTTAGGGTTAGGGTTAATCTCACCAGGCGGCTCCTCCCGATCGATGGTTGGTCTCAAACGCCTTCTGCACCCAATCAGCCTTCTCCAGCGCAGGTGGACGGCATTAGCTGTCATCTCCTGCTGCAGGGGCACCTGAGAGCTGTAGTTCAGCCCCCCCAACACGGCCACAGAAGTGAGGTCTTACGGATTTGTGATATATATCTTCTAATTCAACGTTATCTTTTGCTCCTCAGGTTGCTGAGGTTTCATCTGATGGTATCCTGCGTCTGGATCTTGATCTGGAGGATGCGGTGATGCCTAACGGGACCCACATGACCAGTGTTGATGGCTCAGAGCTGTCCAAAGAAGCCACGGACACAGCCCCTGCTCCGAACATCAACAGGGCTGCGGAGAAACCTTCAGAGGAGGATTCTAAGGATGAGCCACAGACCACTACCGAGAAAAAGGTCATCAAACCCCCCATGCCGCCTACCAAAGAGGCTAAACCCTGTCCAGCTGCCGAGGATGAACCCGAGAAAGACAAAAAGGTTTGCTATTCAGTGTGCCGATACATTTGTCCCAGGCCTGCGTTTGATGCAATGACCGATGATGTTTGATTTCTTTGTTCGATAAGGTCCTGAAACCACCTATGCCTCCATCCAAAGCAGCCAAACCATGTGGATCACCCGTTGAGGAAACTACAGAGGATCAAAATCTTGATTCTAAGAAAAAGACAGGCCCACCACCAACCCCTCCCAACAAACCCTCCTCAAGCGGCTCTCTTAGCAACCTTGTAGAGGCCTCCCAGTCCACACCAGGCCCCCACCCTCCTACCCCTCCATCCAAAGAGAAAAAGCCATCCCACTCTGCCTCAGAAACAGACAATGAGGCCACCGGAGGGAAAAAGGTGAAGGGAGAGGAGAGTGGAGTGGAAAAAGCAGGAACGGCTAATGAACAGGACGATGCCGACCGGTCAGCTTCTCGGGACGTTTCCCATCCTGGAGATGACCGACCGGAGAGCCCCAGAGCTGAGGGAGACGTCTCTGATGAAGAACCCCTGGAGGCCTTGAGGGAGAAGACATCCGACACTGAGCCACGGATAAAAAGTCCAGAGAAAGCTGCTCAGGCTGACGTGCAGGACAAAGGGAACCGCTCGGCCACGGGTCCTCCCAAAGTGGGCTGGGACTCCACGGCCCCTGATACCTCAGGCAGTCCCGTTCAGGCACCGGTGACCCACCCCCACAGCCAAGTCCCCTCAGTCGTCGTGTCTGTTGAGGAGCCGCACGCCGACAGTCTCAGCCTGCTCTGTCACCTGTCCGGGGAGAAGAAAAAGAAGGCGGAGGAGAAATCTGTGGACAGCGGGCGGCATTCGGACGATGAGAGCGAAGGCTCCGGGAGCGAAGACACACTGGCGGCTTCCACGGCCGCTCTCAAGGGAAGCCACACCGCTCTGGATGCGTTAGACACTGCTGAGGACAAAAGTCAGACCTCCGTTAACTTCAGGCCCACGGCCAAACCTCAGGTCTTTCCTTACCGGCGCTCAGAGCCCACTTATAAACCTCCCAAACCTTCTCCCAAGGCCAGGTCGGCATCTATAGGAGACCTGTTGTCCGAACCCTCAGGCTGTCCGCCGCTGGAACAGCCCACAGCCGGGAAAGGAAGCAATCCGCTTCCTATGGGGAACTTCATGAAGCTGGAGAGTGAAGTGGCGCTGGAGATGGAGAAGACCAGCGAGCTCCTGAGCAAGGCTCAGGGTTCCGGTTACGAGGAGGGTCTGCCTGAGGAGCTGCTGGCTAAAGCCATGGAGAAGCTGAAGAAGGCCAACCACGTCCTCATGGAGGTCAAGAAGCTGAAACTTGCGGACTGCTCAAGAAACAGGATGAGCTTGTGAAGGCCAGTCATGTATTAGGAACCCCTCAAACAGGCCTGTCAAACCTCAGATTCTCCACATGATTCGACTTCATCTGAAGAGAAGCTTACTTTGAGTTTAAATGGACTAAATGTTGGGAAAACGTTGTTTCAGGCAAATGAGTTACAGTCGTGTTTATTGTCAAAATACATCCTGAAGTTCATTATTTTGATTGTAAAAGTGAAACATAATGTCTTTATGGTACAGTCATTTTTAGTCAAATCAGAAAGCTAATATTAGCCTTTTTATTCAGCTTATGTGCACATGCAGCCGGCAGAAGGAATGGGAGACTTATTTAGCATGCTTTTGGCTGCGAAAACTACCTTTTGAGCAGTGAATCATTACATTACCATTGCAAATGGAAATCGTGTTTCATGGAATGGGAAAGCAGTTGTGTCAGGACCAGGTCAGGATTCAGGGTTTAGTGAGCACTCAGTTCATAGGTGGAGGGGTCCCACGGATACAGGTTTAGCAGCTCAGAATTTAATATGTGCAATTTTTCTAGTTTCTCTGCAATATAATGCTAATGTTCAACGGTTTATACGTGTTAATTGTTATGAAATAATCACAGATGTTGATTACTTGAAAGGGAAATCGAGGACTAATAATAGAATCAAAATGGATGTAATAATTTACAAAAGGTACGAGGACGATTGACGCCACATTAGACACATTTCAGTACTTTAGTTTCAGTTTTCTAACTTTCAGATATCAAGTTCTTACATCCATTTTATACAACAAATGTATGCTGTACATACTTTAATTCTGCCACAGCATGTCTGAGAGCTCTCAGAGGCTAATAGCCGAGAAGGAATAGCATCATTAAAGCAAATCAGAAAATTTCTCAGTTAGTGGGATTACAGATTTTAATAGTCATACTTATTCCACTGTGATTTCTATTTTTATACAGGTAATGTTGAGCGCACGTTGAGCTCTTTCTAACCCTTTTTACCTTTAGATTTTATATAAATGTGTTGCTATTGTACATATGTGCTAATCAGTAATAATTCCTGCAGTCTGATTCATTAATTAAGAATTTATCATTTTTATTGTGCAGCTCTTTGACAAAATGCCATATGAAGTATGTAAAATATTTTATAACAGTAGATACACCTTTTTACTCTGATGAAATCTAATGTTTCTGTAATAAACATGGAAACATGTCTGACTCCCTGTCCTGGTTTTTCCTCGGTCTCAGGCCCGTTGCAGCACTCCTTTAAACTTAATTTAAGGCGCTTATTTCTGTCTGCTTGTGACCATGTGGCAGGTTTTCAGCAGAAGAAACAAGTCAGAAGTTGACGGGTGACATTTTACTTTGAAAACCCACAGCGGAAGTGGTTCGCGGCCTGCGTAACTAAATCTGACGGTTAATTTCAGAGTCCGCTCTCCTCTCATCCGGGAGCGGTGTGAGCTCCGGGGAGCCTCGGGAACGGGAGCATGGAGGACGACCTGGTGTCGGAGGATGACATCTGTGAGTACTGAAGCCGTAAAGCCGCGCCGCGTGCCGCGACGCGCGGGGGGGAGCCCCAGAGGCGGGAAACGTCCAAATGCTGGCCTGTCATTTGATTGGTGTTTTCAAGGAAAGAGTCTTGGTGGTCAAACGAGGGGTAGGGAGTCCACCAAACAGCCGGAAACGAGCGTTTCCCGTACTGGTGTTCAATTCCGCTAACCCCGTAGAGATACGTCTGGTTGTAGGAAGCCAAGGATGGATATCCAACTCCGCCCACATCCAAGTCGGCCATTTTGATAACGTCACCAATAGGAAGATTTCAGGCCAGAAAATCGTAATTGCTTCATGGCAATATAGACATTGATTTAAAAATAGTGAAATTAATCTTGCAAACACTGAATTAAACTCTATACATAATATTGTGTTGAAATAGTGTATGTTAAATAGGTTTGTACAATAAGTCTAAACTAGTTTAACCAAAAAATGTTTATTTCTCACAGTTATGAAGGGTGGAGGGTTAGGGTTAGGGTTAGGGTCAGGGTCAGGGTCAGGTTTAGGGTTAGGGTTAGGGTTAGGGTCAGGGTCAGGTTTAGGGTTAGGGTCAGGGTTAGGGTTAGGGTCAGGGTCAGGGTCAGGGTTAGTGTCAGGGTCAGGGTCAGGGTTGGGGTTAGGGTAAGGACATCGTTTGTCTTCTGATTTCCTATAGACAGTAAAGTTTCATTTCCACCTGAGAAAGCTGCTAGTCATATGACCTAATCAAAAGTAGTTGGATATCTGAACCGAGGCGTCTTACAGACCGCTACTCACCCCGTGCCGGTCGGGGATGGGGGTTGGGGCGACGCCTCTAATTCCCACTGCTCTGACTTCTGGCAGTGCTGCGGTCCGAGAAGGAGCTCCACGACGCTGCCAAGAGGAACGACACCGGGAAAATCCTGGAGCTGATTCAGAGGGGCGTGAATGTGAAAGCCAAAAACAAGGTAAGCTTTCCTGAGGCTGATATCAGATCAGACCAGACGCTCCCCGAGGGGCCAGTTCTACGGCTCACCGATCACTGAGTGTGTGTGTGTGTGTGTGTGTGCGCGCACAGCTGGACCGCAAAGCCCTGCACTGGGCAGCCGGAGCCGGGAACGAACAGGCTCTGCGCCTGCTTCTGGACCACGACCGCGACGTGGACGAGAAGGACAGCGTAGGTCCACAGGCTGAGTTATGAGCCCCGTTTGTTTTCTCACGTCCCAGCATCCTCTGATCTGTGGGCTCTTTTAACTGAGCTACTTCTGTGGGCCTTCACAAAAGACATGCAAAGCAAACCCCATTCCAAAATACACGAAAAACAGACAGCCCTCATTTAAAAGTAAAAAACCAAACAAACATACAGCTTGTTGTTAATGCCAGTTTAGAATAAACAGGATTATAAGGAGTCTTTTGCTCCTCTTTACAAAGGAAAATAAAAGTTTTTCAATCACTTAAGCTCCAACACATTCACTTGTAAAAGTATTTAAAAGCACAGTGTTAGTTTAGACTGAGGACACAGGAGCTGATCTCACTCAGACACTTTTTTATCTTAAACTAGAGAAACAGGAAGTTCTGCCACAGGTAGCAGCTATCAGCCTCACTGCTGTGTAAGACAATCTTGTAAATATTTATTCACAGTTTGGCATGAACGCTCTGCTCCTGGCATCCTGGTTCGGTCACCCGAAGATCCTGCAGGTCCTGGTTTCCTGCGGAGCCAAACTCAACAGCGAAAACAAAGTAAGAGCTCCTTTTTAGCCGACTGGGAGGATGTTTTACACTGATACGTGTGTGTGTGTGTGTGTGTGTGTGTCAGGATGGTCTTAGTATGCTGCACTGTGCTGCTCAGAGAGGCCATATCCGGGTACTGGAGTTCATCATGGAGGACCTAGAAGACATCTCCCTGGACAGAGCTGACAAGGTGGCGTGATTCCAGATGTTCCTGAACCGAGCCGTGCTTTTACTTTGTTAGCACATCGTCATAGAGGCTTTGAAAAGGGATGAATGGCTCCTGTGTAACAATCTGATCTCTCTCTACCAGTCTGGAAAGACAGCGCTTCACCTGGCTGCTGAACATGGACAGCTGGAGGTGGTGGGCTTTCTCATTGGCATGGGTTGCACACACGCTTTGAAGGACAAGGTAGAACTGGAGGAAAACACACACACACACACACACACACGCCTGAGCATCACATAAATGGCTCCACTCTGCTAAACCAGCAGTGACTGTGTGTCAGGTTTCTGGCTCGAATAGAGCTGATCCGCTTTACAAAAGGGTAAGAAACCACCTAATTTGACTGTTCTTGTGAACGTAAACACGACGTCACGGCCAGGTTTTGCTGCTGCGGAGCGTCTTAAAGCAGGACCTGTCTGGAGGGAGTCCTGCTGTCACAATGCTGGGTGTGGTAAAGCTAATTCACTGCCACTCTGGAGGCTGTCCCAAATTAAATATTTACAAGCTATTCATTTTCAGCCGAGCACACTCCTAAGAAACAGTTATGACAAAGCCAGTACCAGAAAAATACATGTCAGTTATACAACAATGAAAACGCTCACTTCAGGCTTCAACAAACCTCATAAAACGAGGTTTAAAGGCTCTAAGTATTGGCACAGATGTCCGATTATTTGAAATTTTAGTGACCTCAGTGGTATTTGTAGTTTGAGAACTAAAAAATTACACCCAGAGTTCCCACACAGTGATATGGATTAAAGGTTTTCAGTTTTGGTAAAATGATCTCTTTCATAGGACCGACCTATAACTAAAACCTCAGTCTTGTACTGGTTAAGCTGTAAGAAATCCTCTGCACTCCATAACCTGATACCTAAAATACAATTTAAAAGAAAGCTAACCGCTCTGTCATCAGGAGACACAGCGTTGTCATCAGCATAGTTGTGTGTCTCCTGATGACATCCCCAAATTGGCAACATGTACAGATTCAAAAGTAATGGGCCTCAAATGGATCCTAGGGGAACTCCATATTTGATTTTGTGGATTCCTGAGGAGCGTGTGTCCATACTAACAAAGAACTAATAAAAGCAGTTAATAAAAAGCAACACTAAGATCCGGTAGCACCAGGACCGTGTTTCTGGAAGTCCAGGTTACACCTGAGCTCATTAACAGTCTTTAAAAGGGCCGTCTCTGTTCTGTGGGTCATCCTAAAACCAGACTGATTAAAAAAAAAAAAAACTGTGTTTGTTTGAAAAAAAAACCTGTTTATTTTTTAGATTTTTTTAACTTAAAAAACTGTAAATAAGATACGGGTTGGTAGTTAGAGAATGTTTGGGCCTCAGCGGGGCTGTTTACAGATTCATCTGAAGAGAATGATTTAAAAGCCCCATAAAGGGTCCATAAAAGGTCTTTAAGAGTGATGTGGGAGGTGGATATAAAATGCAGGTTGTTGGGTTTGGCTGGGGGAAAATTTGACCAAGCATCAGCCAGGACCAAACTCTCCAGTGTTTCCTTTGGTAAAAACAATACAGCAGGTCTGTTCAAGTCAACACAACCGCACAAAAATGACCACTACTAGTCGTAAAATGGCGTCTGGTCAAACCCTGCGTTAATAGGGTAGATGGATTCTGTTAGCTTGCCTCAGCTGTGTCCACAGCCACCGGAATGTGGCGGAGTCGTAGTCTGCTAACCCTGTCCTGACTGGCTTTCAGGAGGAGAACACGGCCATGCATCTCGCAGCCAAAGGAGGACACACACAGGTCCTGCTTAAGATCGTGGACGCTGGAGTAGACGTGGACGGAAAGAACGTAGTAAGTGCAAACTTTGACAGGATGGTGTCATTTTTTAAAATCTCAGCTTTGACTCATTTCGATTAATATCTATTATTCTGCTAGGAAAAACAAGAAACAGATCTAAAAAAGAACAAATCCTGTATTGTTAGACTGGAAGTCGGATAAATGTCCTCATTGGGAAAGACATGGTATTTTTTAAAAAGCTTTTAAGCTTTAAATACACAAAGGGTGTACACAAAGGCTTTTACAAAAAATTGGCAATTTTCTTTCCTATATTTCAGATGTGGAGGTTTTGCCCAGCTGAAAGCGCCTGTTACTGTCATATGTAGCTCTGGTTATGCATATGTGTGTATACATCTGATGAGTTTTTTTTTTTTTTTTAGCAAGCTGAGATGTGAAGGGGGGTCGGCTTTATTTTGTAGTTTTATTTTTAATAGATTTGTTTTCCCTGTTGTTAAAAGGACCGCATTTTTAAGGCACTATTTTTTCAGTATTACACTGTTAAATGTGTCACAGGTGCAAGTGTTTAATAAGAGTTATATATTTAATGTAATTAGTTTGATTGGCTCTAATAAAGATATTTAGAAAAAAAGAATAATACCGTGCAGCATAAAGTCTTTTACACAAATATTAGATGCACCTCTGATCTATTAAATTAGCTGCATTCAACATAAATGTTTGATAATGTAAAGAGGATGCGATTACATGTTGAATGTGCCGTGTTGCTTCTAACCAGCTGAACAGACGAAAACCTCTAAAGGTGGATGTCCGTGTCGTTTTCAGGACGGACTCAGTGCTCTGCACCTGGCAGCCGACGGAGGTCATTACGAGTGCGTCAAACTGCTGCTGGACTCGGGCTGTAACGTCAATGCACACACCAACGTACGCTGGTGTTTTAAGAGGCCGCGGTTTGCCGAAGAGGGTTTTTGTTTCTTCTGAGCCGTGCTTTCTTGTGTCCACAGAGAAATATGAACGCTCTACACTACGTGGCTCAGCATGGCTTTGGGAGAGAAGCCACCCTGTTACTGGAGGCAGGGATTGACATAAACACTGTTGACCATGTAAGTGCTGCTCACATATGAATGAGAAACATTTATGCTAATCTAATGTCTATTACAGATGTTACTTAAAGCCTACTTTTACATGCAGCATTTGCCTTTGACTTTCTGAGTTCTATTAAACTCAGATGCTCAAATGGGCTCATATGTTTTGAATCAGTGTTTCTGAGTCCTGAACGCATCCCAACCAGGTGTGCTGGAGCAGGGAAACTTGGAAAACATGAAAAACAATGTGCTCAGAGGACCAGGGTTGGAAACCAATGAGTTAAATCACAGGATTCAGTTCAGTTTTATGATTGTAGTGCCAAACCAGAATGTCAGAACCCAAAACACTGCAAAACAAAGACAAGTAGACTTCATTTCTATAGATCCTACAAAGAAAAGTTGCCGTTCTCAGGAAGCCATAGATTGCACCAGAACCTCCCCTTTAGCCCGGCCCTCGTCCAGAGCTTCAAATGAGAGTGGGGAAAAAGTCCATTTTAACACGAAGAATCCTGTGGCAGAACCAGAGTTAGGACCTGGGCTGACTGTAGGTATTCCTGCAAGAAAGAAGGAATGTATCTATAACGAGTTAAGAGATAACTGACAAAATATAAGATAGTGTATGAATATTATTAATAATTTTCCAGTCCCTATCATACAAAAGGAGAACATGTAGACAGTAAAGGAACCAGGAACCCTCCTGCTGTGGGGCCACCATGCTAACAACCACACCACGATGCAGCCCATCATATATTTATGATATATGATCTCATCTCGTGTGATATATAATCAGATACCATATCACTAAATATGATAGCATAACAAAGACATTAATAATCTAACTGTCCTGATCTTGTATCTGTGATGTTTTAGTGTGTGATTTGTTCTGTTGTGTACAGTCACTGTGTTTTGTGTAAAAGCCTAACTGGGGACAGGCATTGAGAATTAGCCTTAGCTAAAATGTTGTAGTGTGTGAGATGTTTCATGAAACATACTTGTCCCTATCAAATTAACGAATAAATAAAAACTCATCTCATATCGAATGCATAATAAGATATATCATATAATAGAATGTCATATATCACCTAGAACACAAGCATGGAGGATATTCTGGCTAGTGTGTGCATTCCACAGTGTAACATGGATGTGTTTTCAATGTCTTCCTCGTTTTTACCTGAAACAGCAACATCTCACCCCGCTCCACATGGCTGTGTCCAACCGTCACGTGCAGCTCGTTCGGCTGCTGATAGACGCAGAGTGTGACCTGGATGTCCCCGACTGTGTGAGTTTCAGCTTCTTTAGCGGCACTCCCGCGACGTGAGGCCCAAAACGCCTCGTCCAGCGGTGATAATGAAGGTTGTGTGTGTGTGTGTGTGTGTGTGTGTGTGTGCGTGCTGGGGTCACAGAGGCAGCAGACCGCCCTGCACGTAGCCGCCGAGCTGGGCTGGCAGGACGTGGCCGAGATGATGCTGATCTCCGGGGTCAACCTTAACCTGACCGACAAGGTACCACACACACACCTCCCATTTGGACCTGACAGCTGTCTGACCAGTAACTGGTATTTACTGCCTTGTTGTTGCAGTTATGTTATCCACTATTGAGATTTGGCTAGTTTTTATTGGCTTTTTAGTTGCCGGACACCTTATTTCCCCTTATCCTATTTTAAAATGATGATCTTTTCTTTGGGATAATTCACATGTTCATCGTGCAAGTGCTATTTCTGTACCGGTATCAGCAGTGGATGAGCATTGAATTGAAATGATGCTTTCTTAGGAAATCATTTTCGATTCCTGTGAGTGTAACAGTAGTCTGATGATACGCACAGCAGGGAAAAACGTGTCTGGAAGTGGCAGCAAGAGGAAACCACGTCGTCATCGTTGATATGATCATCAAGGCTGACCGTTTTTATAAATGGGAGAAGGTGAGTGAGTGTTATTATTTTGTTACAGTATTATTCAGAAGACACACAATTATCTTCTCCGGTAACGTGCACTGACATTTTATTTAATAATGTGACATGAATGATAGAGGTGCCCCTAAAATGTCACAACATCTCAATTGATGTAGTTAAAAAATATTGTCCTCTTTTTATAACAAGCTAGGAAACTGTGTAAAATATCAAATCAAATAATCCATTTGTGATGGAGGCCATAGATTTTATGACTTTTTATGTTTTTTTGTTGCTTTAAATTGGGATAAATTCTGTTGGTATATCTTGTTTGTAGCTTCTCTGGGGGGGTTGCTGGTGTTTTATTTGCTCCTCCACTGGGTTCCTGCTCTTTCCCACAGTTGAATAGTTCACGGTTGGTATTTTGTTTTCGGCTTGTGACTTGAATTGTGTCCTCGTTATCCTCGGCTCCCCTGTTTTGTCCCCCCGCTTCACTGCACACGTCACATCTCTGTTTAATGAGCTCCCGTCTATCAGTGTGTAATGTTCTAAAGGGAAGCTTCAGTTAAGTGTGTGTCTGCTCCGGGTTGTTGTAGCAGCCGGGTTCGTACGGGAACCTGAATCCTGTCCAGAGGAAACTAAAACGAGTGAAGCTAAATGTAGAAGTGAAGTTACTCACTTCTCTGTGTCACACAGAAGCTTCTTCTGTGCATCCAAAGTGTCGTTAGGCAGTGAATGTGAAGTCCAGAGGCTTTCCACTGTAGACCAGATGATGTCGGTGGTACTGAGTGGAAGTGGTTGCTGTAAAAATATGACGATTTCAGCTAAACAAAACAGATAATCTCATATCAGTGTGTGGTTACATAAAAAGTCTAAATCTAGTACAAGAGCCCACATCAGCCAGGATAGCTTTCTCTGAACTGCATTTAACTTGTGAACAGTACTGTGCACATGCACGGTTTGTGAGGCCCGGTCTCTCTGTTGTTACCAGGATCACATGGGCAGTGAGCGGGACTGCTGGCTGGGCAGGCCTCTGAGCTTCAAACAGGATCACCAGGCAGAGACGCAGCACCTCCGCTCTGTCCTCTGGAGTCTGGCCACCAAACACCTCTGCCGGGGCGAGTGGAAGATTCTGGCCCAGCACTGGGGATTCAGCGACGCACACATCCGAGCCATCGAACAACAGTGGACGGGTGAGCAGAGCTCCAGCTTCAGCAATTACAACTACTGTTCGTAGTCCTGTTGCTATTATCACTGTTGTCATTATCATTAACATTACTATGAATATCTCCACCATTTTTCATCCAGCCCATAGCAACACTACCTTTTATTTGTCAGTACTTTTATGTGTTACTGTGTAGGCTGTCTCCCCCTGCTGCCTCTGCTCTTTCTGTCCTTCTCTCCCTCTCTCTCTCTTTCCCTCTCTCTCTCTTTCTCTCACCCCCGACCGGTCGAGGCAGATGGCCGCCTACCCTGAGCCATAGTTGTGCTCGAGGTTAAAAGGAAGTTTTTCCTTGCCTGTGTCGCCTAGTGCTTGCTCTCGGTGGAAATTGTTGGGTTTCTGTAAATAACTTCCGAGTAGGGTCTGACCTGCTCTGTTTGGAAAGCACTGTGAGATAACTGTTGTTGTGATTTGGAGCTATATAAATACATTTGAACTGAATCGAATTGAAGGTGAGACAAAGTCTGGGCTTACCCCTTATGGACACACAGACAAGCGGCCCAAACAGAAACTTCTCTGCTCGCTGCATCAGGCGTTGCCCTTCAGCCCCTCCCACATGTCCAAATCCCTCATGCACCTGTGTGAAAGCGCTACTAGAATGAATTTGAATGTTTTCATCTGCAAAATTTTTGTTTTTGAGGATTTGAAGCTAAAACAGGGAATGATCTGTATTTCTTTCTTTCTTTCTTTCTTTCTTTCTTTCTTTCTTTCTTTCTTT